GAAGTCAAACCATATCAGAAATTGAATTTCTTTTTTTTTATTCATTGAGATATTGGAAGTTTATTATTTTATTATAATGAATTGTATCATTAAAACATCAGTGTAGACACAGCCAGTTGATCAAACATCTAGGACATCACTTTTTCAAATGTTCATTGAATGATCTAAACTTTTTTTGTTTTAAATTTTTTTTAAAAAACTTATTACCTATCAGCCTCCTAAGTGTATATTTCTGTTAAGTTCGTTACGCTTGACTACTACTACTGATTCGTCTTATTCGGAACGGAACGAAGAACCAAGGATTCAGAAACTCGATACGCTATTCTGGTCCATTGTCCCGCGACTCAGCTAACTCGATCAAGAAGTTTTGGTAAGACGTAAAAAGTGTATTCTACAGGCAACTAGAAAATACCAGGTCCATCAGACACGCAAATCAAGCGTATTTATACAAAAATATATAATCGATATTGCCATGGAAGTTTCGAAACATTCAATCGATAAGTTCTTCAATCGACACTGTGCGTGGGTAGTAAGAAATGCCCAAGCATAAATCGGCATACAAGCTCCACAAAGATAAAATTACAAAATATGAGTTTTGGGGATCTAACGTCCTCAACAATTTCCTTATAAAATATTTATAACCTATCAAAAATTTAATTACAGAGATAACCAAGTACAACAACTTCAGTTGTGTAGATATTTTCCATTACTAAATAAAAATAACAATCGATTACTATTAATTCTATACATCAAAACGTGCCAGATGTTGTAATTGGATCAGGATTGATTGTAAAAGTTAACGACTGCATTTAAGTTGGAGGTTATTGTCATTTTTAAATCTTTATACAGAACTTTCCGAATCTTCAAAAGTTTTTCTTCCAATACAGATGTGAATTCTTACATCGTAATATTCATGTTATCCTTACTTAGTCAATACTTTTATGGTAGTTAGTTAGTTATTTCGACATGTACTAATAATTCTTGAACTTAAGAAAAGTTCGAAAACTTATATGCACAATTTCCTAATGAATACAGTGGGAGATTGATGAGGCCAATGCGATACACCGTCACTGAATATTTTTAATGCATATTTTGTTCATATAATATACGAATAGTTTTTCTTTATACTTATGATTTATACTAATGGATGGCTCAGAATCAGTTAGAAGGTTTGGAATTCTCAGGTGACTTAGCTCATCTATATCATACACACTAATAAATGCAGATAAAGACAAACAATATAACTGCAGCCTCTGCATAAATAGGCCTTAACATATGCAAGGGATAGACCAAGATTCTCAAATTCAATACGGAGAACAACTAACCCAATCACACTTTAAGAAGAAACTCTGGAAGAGGTGCAGACTTTCATGTATCTGACTGATCAGTATCGTCGAGGAACGTGGAGGATCTGATACAGACGTGAAGGCAAGGACTGGCAAAATAAGGACAATATTCCTATATTTGAAGAACAAAGAGAACTCAAAATAACTGTCAAATAATATCAAAGTCACAATCGTCGATACGAATGTCAAGACAGTCTTAATGTACAAAACTGAAACTTCAAGAACTACATCAATCACTATCAAAAACGTACTAGTATTTACAAACAATTGTCTAAGCAAGTTACTCAATGTCCTTTGATCAGATACGTTGGGAAATGGAAGCAGATATGAAAAGGATGAATAACAACTGAAAAGGATTACTCAGAATAGATCTCGGTAAAGAATGCTGATGGATGACTTACGCTTTTTCTAGAGGGATAACACGCCTAAGTAAGTAATAAATTATACCAGGAACTAAGAATAACTGACTTTTGACAATTATTGAAAATTATCGTTTATTCACCAGTATTACAAACTCAAGTCTACTTCTAGTCACAAGTAAATTTTTTTCTTTATTTATTTCAAGAATAAGAACTAGAGTATGATTATTGAATCTTTTATTCGTGTTTTGCAATTTCTATAAAGTTGATAGATTACATTTTATTTAAATTATTAATTATATTTTACTGGACACATGGGAATTGAGATTTGTGTTATTTTCTGTTTTAATGTTGTTTCTTATTTATCTATTCGGTTGATTTGTCTATTCTGTGTGATGTGTATAAAATCATAGTTTACTTTTGAAAAAAAAAAAGTTCTTCAACAAGTTTTATGATAAGTTCTAGTTTCGGAACTGAATACAGGAATGTATCATCCAATCTTTAGTGAATATTAGTAATAACAAGTTGTATGTCTTTTTTTTAAGAAAAAAAAAGTCACATTTTAGTAAACATATTACATCTGTCTAATTCAAGTAAGTCATTCTAATACATTAAAGGCATAATGTTTACGTCTTACTTTGTGTTACTTCTTAATATTCTTGATGATTCAATACGTTTATTAGTTTTAGATAGCCTCCGTCTAGAGTCTTTCCGGGGTTGACTACTGGTCCAAAGCCCGGATAAAGGAGGAGGGTTGGGCATGGGATAATAGACCTCATCTCATAGAAAACTAACTCGCTAAAAAATATTAAAAAAAACACTAAACGTGCATAAATTTATTTCATCAATGAAAACCTTTTTTTTATTACAGTATTTCGGTCTAATAACGTTTAATGTTAAGATCAAAAGTGTTTTGAAATGTTTCTATAGGCCTGATTTTACATTATAATTATTATTGATCAATTAAAATATTAAAAAAACTGTACTTAATTACTTTCTTACACATGTTACCATTCGCGGTGGAGCATAGGCCGCCGACCAGCACTTTTCATCCAAACATGTTCTGGTCAATCCGTTCCAGTTGTTTCGGTTGCTACTCATCCTTTTCATTTCTGATTCCATTTCCCAACGTAGTGTGTTCTTCGACCTTCCTCTCTTGTGTATCTCTTCACGGTTCCAAGTTAGCGATCGCCTCATGATGCAGTTTGATGATTTCCTAAATACATGTCCTATCCCATTACAGAGTCTTTTCTTAATTTCCTTTTCATTTGAAAGCTGGTTTGTTCTTTCACACAATAGGCTGTTGCTAATGGTATCTGATCAAAGGACATTAAGTAACTTGCTTAGACAATTGTTTGTAAATACTAATACGTTTTTGATGATGATTGATGTAGTTCTTGAAGTTTCAGTTCTGTACGTTAAGACTATCTTGACATTCATGTTGAAGATTGTGACTTTGATATTATTTGACAGTTGTTTTGAGTTTCCTATGTTGTTTATAAAAAATTGTAATAGTCCTAAAAATAGTATTTAATTTCTGTTATAATCTTTAATGAAATAATTTCAATTTAACACTTATCATTAGTAAAATCAGTAGGGTTTTATGTGAAACATGTTTCAGCAATATTACAGAACAATTCTTGTCTCAAACAAAGTTTTTTTTATATCTAACATGATACAAGATAGCTACTATTACGATATCAATTTCCTATTAAAAAGGAATTTTGGAAAAAGAATAGAAACATCCTGTTACACATCAATTCATTCAATATCATATACACTCTTTAGGTGTCTGATTTTAAACTATCAATTTCCATCAGAAATGTTTTATATGATATTAAGTTCTTGTCAAAATTCTATGAGTAAAAGCCAATTGTTTTTCATTTGTCACATTAGAGATAAAATATAATGATAACAAATTGCATGAACTTATTATTCATTACCAAATTTAAAACTGAAGGCTCTGAGTTCAAATCTCGCGAGCGGGATCGTGGATGCGCCCTGCTGAGAAGTCCCACAATAGGATGAAATAGCCGTCTAATGCTTCCAGGTTTTCAATGGTGGTCTAACATCAATCGGTTCATGATCTTAATCAAAAACTTTTAATATATCCTGTGAGATTGAAACTTTATACGAATTGAATAATAGTGTTTAAAAGTTGAACAAAATAGCAAGCTAAAGCTTAACCTATATATTGAAAGTTATTGTATTCAACTAAGGAAAGGCATTCACTTTCAAGGAAATTATAATCCAACTATTTGTTGACCGTAACCCATAAAAGTATGATCCACATCCAAATCCAAATAAATTTAAGCTATAGAAAGTGAATGTATATCCTCAACCTATTTTTTTTTGGAAATCACTCTAACCTCGACATATTCTACGAAATAATCCCGAATGTTGATTTGTCTTTCTCGATTTGGATGATGTTATTATTATATAAAATCTCCCCAATTAAGCCTCATATTTATATGCTTTTATTCGATTGATTAAGATCTATCGTCTAATATTTTTACAACTGATTGACCACTGGTTGGTGATCAATGTCATGAGTGTCTAGTCCTTATTATTAGTGCAAATCGAATGCTATCGACCATGTTGCAATGTGGCAACCAGTCTAAGTGACTCGACACTGGGGGCACTATTGTGAGATTAGATGGTGGTTGGAGGTAGTCGATAGGAAACCTTGGACCCGGACTGGTGGCTACATTGCAACATGGTCGATAGCATTCGATCTGCACTAATAAGGACTAGACACTCAAGGCATTGATCACTACCCAGTGATCAATCAGTTGTGATAACATCTCAGTCCTACAGGAGGTCGATCGCGGCCCGGATGACCCAGTGGTAACGTCTCTGACTTTAAAGCTGGTTGACACGGGATCGAATCCGTCAGGGAGAACCAGTTCCCTTAAGATGACAGGTACACCTTGCTGACGAGTGCCAAGTAGCACGAAATCCGGTTCCAGGGTTTCCTGTCGACTACCTCCAACCACCATTTAATTTCTCACACTTTATTTAGCCTTTGAACTTGACTAATGACACAACCTTAGAAAATTTGAAAAACGATTGACATCTAATTTATTGTTTTTGTTATTTATCAATGAGTATTGCATTGTTAATAAATTAATACATACTCTTATATATACTGGATACTGTAAGATTCTATCAGAATCTTTGTTCTTGCTCTTTTTAAAATGATAAAGGGAACTATGTGTATGGAATATTTATTTAATGTTATGGTGTATGTTAGTTTTTTTTTTTTGATTGTTTCTGTTTTATTTTATCATAAAAGATCAAAAATCATTAAAATTAATAAATGAATTTTTGGAACGTAAAGAAAAATACAAAAATCAATTGGATTTAATTAAAACAAATGAAAATTTAAAAAAAGTTATTGAACAATTATCTGAAATGAAAGCTGAAAAGTCAACTGTTCAAAGTCAATCTATACCGTTTAATGAAAATATAAATAAAACAAAACAAAATTCATTTGAAAATTTAATAAATCGTCGTAAACTTCGTAGTCAAATTAAACAAATACGTAAACGTATACAAGTTATACAATCTATTCAACGAATTATGGATCGTCAATATGCAAGTCTATTAGATGTTTGTGTACAGAAACGTCAACGTTTAGAAGAAATTCTATCTTTGAATATTGTTTATGAAGAAGTTTCAGAATTGAAAGTAAGTTCAGCTACTTTAGTAATGTATTCCTTACATAAGAATTTTGTTTTTTTTTGGATTAAACCTAAGTTTAAAAATTTTTCATTTAGTGAATTATTCAGAAAATACAATTTACTGTTATTATGAATTTTAAGGAACTTTGAAGTAATCCATAACCAGTATATTTATATTACATACTCTAATAAGAATCTTTCATTGAAGTTATCACAAACCTTTAATATACACATTTAGATACCCAAGTTTTTTCTCTATACTCTGTCAAATAATTTCAACTTCATTTCGTCTTGAAATGATCTATATTACATAATCTATTGAATTTTTGAAAGTAAATAAAAAATAACCTAAATATCTGTAATTCTTTGAAATTGTTATAATTTGTTACCTGTGTGCCCAGTTTATTGTATAACGTAATGATTCCGTCGATCACAGAGAGCAGGGGATTATTGATCAGACCAATGATCCATACGAGCAGCCTAGAATCCTTATTGGTCCTGCATTCCACCTAGACCAGCCAGTTAAGTCCAGAACACCAATCTCAGACTATGAAATATAAATCATGTATTTCAAAAATATTCGGCTTATATATCAATCAAACAGACCACAACGTAGCATATAATAGAAAATAACATTCGTACAAAATTTGGCCAAATGTGACTGTGAATGTCGGAGACTGTAATTAATAGGCAGGGGATAATTCAAGAATGGTAAAACGCAGAATAATGGTTCATAAGTTCAAATAAAGCTTATAATAAGAGAGACATGAATATGGATAGTTTAGTTATTTCACAATTATACGATAAAAGATATACGTTTAGTATTGATCCACAAATGGATCCCATAATTACCATTCATTATGCTTATCGGGACCTAACAGAAAGATAAAATATTCATATATTTAACTACTACTGAAAACTATAAGTAGATAGTGAGATCCTATACAAAATATATCCTAACTGAAGCTGATTTACCTATATGTGTAGTCATTCTTGTTATACCAACTTTAACATATGACTCTTAATTGAACTAATAAAACCTCAAATATTGATGCTTAAGACTTTATAAATGATCCCGATTGTTTATGAAAAAGAATATATATATATATATATATATATATATATATATATATATATATATATATATATATATATATACTAAATAACCACTATTAATGAAATAGACAACTAAGACTACAGGAACTCCAAATGATTGATATACACTGATGAATCACATTATTAAAAATCATATTGCCCCATAGTGATAAATATAGAGACATTGATCTTCAGCGACGATGACGTTTATGTTCACAATAAGTGGGCAGAAACACTTTACATTGATTAAAAATAAAAATGAAAAATGATATCTAAACAAAAAAAAAGTTAAGGTAAACATACACGATCAAATAATACGTTTTATATAAAATTGATATCTTATAGGCAGAACTGTGTATAGATTAAAAATAACTACCATAATTGAAAACAAATTGAATGATGTCTGATATACTATCTGCAGTTCTTTATAGTTACTTCAAAATGATCAGATTTTATAAAAACCGGCCTATTCACTAGTCATAATTTAGCCAAAAAACAAAGAACATTAGTCACTCGATAAATTTCAAAGTTTAATAAAAATTTATTGCACCATCAAGCTTTCAAATGTAAGAAGGGTTTATCCCCTACTTCACTACATGAAGTTCAAAAATTGGGATGATGTAGTTGTTGGGGTGATCCAGTAATGATCTCTCAAAAGACAAGCGAGGATTAGGAAACACTAAAAAGCATTACATCCAATCAACGTTCACTTGAAGTTTTTAGCTAAAAACATCAAGAAAGTGAAACGTCACATGTAGAACTTCTGATTAGCTGATCGCTATACTGCTACTATGTTTAGTAGCATTCGAGAATCTTCGAGCAACTTAATAACATTTAATATATCATAAAAACCCTATGTTTTCTGTATTAAAATGAACCTTTGGTGTAAAGTACTTCTCGCATATTTTGCGCCTTCTCTCTTGTGTTCAGATCACTGTATAGTTCTAGCTTGGTGGTTACAAGAATAGCTTAAGAACCGAATATAACGTTCAATTTGCAAGACTTATCAGTAGTACATAAAAGTATGCTACTACTGACAATCAAAAGTTTTCAAAATAAAATTTAGTCATCGGTAAAATGTAAAGTAATTTCACTTTGAAATATTGGCAAAAACCCAATAAAATAATATAAGCTTGAATTATTTTACTAGATCCACAGCGATCATTACTTCAAATAAGCTATTTAAACAACATTATATCCGAATTCAATTACTAACATACAATAGATCATTTTAGTTAGCTGACGATATTAAAGTTTAAACAATTAGTTCAAAAGACCTACTGATTTGAATTTAAGTAGTTTTATAAGCAAAGGTGGATGATAGTGGCTAGCAGTGGAATCCAGGACGCGCGTTTCGTCCTATTTGGGACTCGTCAGCACAGTATGCAAATATGCCAATAAGAGACTGAACAATTTCAGTCCTAAACATCAATGGGAAGATTCAAACAAATGAAAAACAAAAACAATATCAAGTGAATTAAACTTCACCCCATTGCACAAGCAAGTGGCTATCAGGACTCAGTAGCTAAGTGGATAACGCGATGGCGTTTGAAGCGGACGGTACTGGGTTCGAGTCCCGGAGTGAACATCAACTCTGAGATGCAGGTACATCCAGCTGACGAGTCCCAAATAGGACGAAACGCGCATCCTGGATTCCACTGCTAGCCACTATCATCCACCTTTGCTTATAATGCTTGTAAATTAAGGCAATATCGAGGCATACGCACAGTATGCACATATGCCAATAAGAGACTGAACAATTTCAGTCCTAAACATCAATGGGAAGATTCAAACAAATGAAAAACAAAAACAATTTTAAGTAGTTTGTTCACCCCTAAACGTTTTACTGATTATGATTTCAAACATTATTTAATTCATTTTTATTAGATAAACCATTACTACATACAAGACAACCACAAATCTGCTTATCATATTTGAAGATGATTAGCATTTTAAAATTTCTTTATTGACAATAATCAGTAGTTCAATGTCAAAAACACTTAGAAAACGATTAGTCTAATATCAGAAGGGGTTTTTTGTGGAGATTGTAGTAATTTCAATGATCAAGATCATGAATCAGTTAAAGCTACACCACCATGGAAAACAGGGAAGCACTGGACAGCCGTTTCGTCTTATTATGGGACTCCTCAGCAGTGCGCATCCACAACCTCGCCCCCTGCGTTGGATGCCGGCTCAGTGGTCTAGTGGTTAAGTGCTCGCGCGCGAAACCAGTAGGTCCTGGGTTCGAATCTCGCGGGGGGTGGCGAGGTCGTGGATGCGCGCTGCCACTGAGGAGTCCCATAATAAGACAAAACCGCCGTCCAGTGCTTCCAGGTTTTCCATGGTGGTCTAGCTTCAACTGACTCATGATCTTGATCATTGAGATTAGTCTAATAATTCTTCAACAAAGGTGAAGGCCATTGACTATAATATACTGTATAGAATTACGTTTTGAACGTAGACAATGTCTACAACTCTTAGAGCAAAAATAACAGAAAATTGACAACAGTGAATTGAACTTCAACAATAAAATAAATCCTAAAAGAGACATGAATAGAGTTTGTTCTATCAACAACAACAACAACAAAAAACAACTTTAAGTTTACAACTTATGGAACAGCATTCAGATTTTTGAAAGTGTACACTTTGTAACAGATTTATAACTACAACAATTTAAAAGTTATAAAATGACCTTTCATGTCACTAGATAAAATATTCAGTTTACATTGATGATAGTTTTAATGATAGTTATACCTCACTTGGTGATGAAACTGTTGTCAGGAAAAGCATTACCATAATAAGCTAGATACATTTTTTGAAAACATAACACATTCAATGGCGAATGACTGTAGAATTTTATTAGAATAAAAAAAAGAATAACGTCACTTGATATATTTAACAGTGAGACGATAAACTACGAGATATATGATAGTTGAATTCATGAGTCGATTTAAGCAGCACCACCATTGAAAACCCTGAAGCACTGGACGCCTGTTTCGTCTTGATATGGGACTCCTCAGCAGTGCACATCCACGATCCCACACGTGGGACTCGATCCCAGAACCGTCGGTCTCGGGCACGAACGCTCAATCTCTAGATCACTGAGATGGCATACTACGTTGCTAATGTATAACTTCAACCAATCCACGATATTTTGCCACCGTCCACCATTGTCTTCAGTGAGTAACTACCTCATAACAGACACGATTGAAATCCACTGGTCACATCTACTCACTATAACACCAGGAAACACATCTTGAGATCAGTCACTAGTGAACACATGATGAATATTATCAGAATGACATTTTATGGAAATTATAGTAATTTAATCCTTATAGCCATTTATAAGCTTCAATGTATAGAACCCATCAGATAGCCTTAAAAACCGTTAAAATCTGAAGCTCGCTTCAAAATTTATCTGATTGTTTTCCCATGTAAATTATCTTGAAGTAGATGATTGCTTTTTAATTATTTCCTGAATGCTAATTTTTCTTAAAAAATGGTCATCGATACAAGTTCCAGTCATTTATCGTAAAAGAAAACCGTTATACCTTATTTCCCGTCTAAAAAACTATTGATTTCTAGTTGAAAGAAGTTTGAGACCTTATAAATAAACTTTGCCGATAATTAATGAACATATTATGGCAAAAGATTAAACAAAATACATGAAACTAAGAATAAATAATGAATTGACTTTTATCAGTTAATAAACGTTTCCACATTTTGTCATGTGGTTCTTACTTCCTTTTTAAATGAAAGTGCTAGGTTTGAAGCTATTATGAGTTTACTTAATCTACGAACGAGAACAAAGACTCGGTGACCAAAGACCAGTAAGCTAGATATTTGATGCGTCCCAGCCCCGCTAACTAGAGAAAGAAGTTAAAGTTTGGAATGGGGAAGTATATTCTACAAACAGCTAGAAACGAGTGATCCCAACAAACACAATTCAAAACGTTTATATATATACAGTACAAAACCATCCTTGGATAGAGTTACCTTATAGCATACTAAATGACGCAACGGACCAATAGCATTTAAGATATTTCCCAAGTAGGAAATACGACATGATAGTGACAAGAGCGCTTTTGACGCGAAAACAAAGAAATTAAAATTTTCTAAATAAAATGACAAAATTACTTCCTTTCCCTATTGAGTTCTGGGAATCTAATGTCCCCAACAGAAAGTGACATAAACAAGTAGAGTACATAGATTACGGTAATTTCTTCAGTAAAATACTTCCGGAAAATAATTATCCATTCAATGTTATAAATTTCTAAAGAAACAGAATAATTCTATGGTTATAGAGATAAAACACTGAAACACTGTATGTTAAAGTTAAAAGCTCAGAGTATTTCCCCAAATAACTTCGTTATTGTTAATTGAATTTTATAATATAAACTATGTCTTTTCAAAAAATGTCAGCCTTATATTGTTTCCCCTTAACATGTTACATACCTTTGAATATCACCTTGATTATATCTGTATACCGGGAAGATTTCTGTAATTATTTTCAGAGTATTGATCATTTATCATTGTTCTCTTGTAGTGAACAAAACACAACCATGGGGGACAATCGAATGTATTTAACAACAAATTACAGAGCATCTCAATAAAATCTGAGAACCATATATATTAAATCGTTAATTTGCGAAAATTTCATCAATTGTCTCAAATGACTCAGAATTCCTTTGTTCTTGCATTTTCATACAAATTGCATTCTTTCTTCATTCTTTGTGGTTCAATCTTATCGTCTCTCTGCTGCCAGACATTCTGTTCACTACTCACGTCATATACTACTTATATCTGCATAAGTAGCACATGCCACACTCTTCCCTCCTTTATAGGCAGTCGTTCTTGCGGTGGTTCATGCTCACTGTGCAACATTCTTCCATCTGCAGTCTGTGCTACGCTATCCGTCAAAATATCGAGTCGGTGGTGCGCTGACTTCCATAGCTCCGTCGACCTGCCGGGGAACCAACACCCGACCTCCACCCGGCATCTGGGAGGTCTACACCCGTGCTCCACCGGCCTGCTGAGCCATCTACATCCAATGTTTGCCCAGCAGTCGATCTTCTCGTCTCTCTGCTGCCAGATATTCTGTTCATGACTCACGTCATATACTACTTATGTCTACATAAGTAGCACACGCCACACTCTTAGAACATATAGTGATATCTTTATCAAAAAGTTCATTTTATCAACATGTTTGTGTTTATAAAAATGTTTGAATATTCAATTTCACGCTACAAATTTCATCTCACTTTTTTACTTCAGAATTGGTTAAATCAACAAATCATTATAGCTTCATCAACATACACTGGTCGAAGTTTAAACGAATGTGTACGTATTATCAATCGATTTGTACATTTTGGTGAAAATCTTTTAGGTGAATCTTTTACATCATTTGTAGAAATTGAACTACGTTCATTTGATCCTATTTCAACAGTATATACTTTGAATATAACTGATCAATTTGTACACACATCTGGTTTAGCTTCTGAACGTACTTTAAAAGTTATAAATATGTGTCGTTGTTTAATACGTACAAAACATTCAGATTCTCCACGTATTGCATTTTGGCAAGATATTATTTCAGAAACATTAGCTGATTTACGTGAATTAATTTATTCAAGAATTAGATTATTAATATCAGCTGCTCATCGATTTATTTTTGTAACTCGTTGCTCTGTAAGTATGTTTATTGTTTTTTTTTCTCATTCAGTTTGTACTGATACACTTTTTTCATACATGTAAACATGTTAATATAAACTTTGAAAAATATAAGAAATAGAATCATTGATAGAATAAACAAAACATTAGATTGTGTATCAATATTATTCTTTGAAAATTTTTCATCATGTTAAAAATGGCATTGTAAAAATCAACATGATCTTTACTGATCACGTTAGATAATTTTAAAATGATGGAAACAGTATAAAACTTATCAATGGATATTACTTACAGTTTCCAGCTGAAGTAGAAATTAAGAAAAGACAATGGAAAAAAGGATAAGACATACATTGAAGAAATCATCAAAACTGCATTACGAGGCAAGCGCTAACTTGGAATTCTGAAGGAAAGCGCAAAAAAAAAGGAAGATCAAAGAATACATGACGTCGAAAAATAGAAGCGGATATGAAAGGGATGAATAAGAACTAGAATGAACTGGAAAGGATTGCCCAAGACAGGATTGGATGAAGAATGCTGGTGAGCGGCCTATACTCCTTCTCGAGGAGTAACATGCGTGATTGATTGATTACTTACAGGAAATTATCTCTTTGTTTAGTTTTCATAAGTAAACATCATGTTTCATACTAACCTTCAATGAATAATGTTTGATTACAAAACAAGGAATAAAACTTATCAAATCGAGTATAGGCTAATTTCTAAATCTTTTAGAGTGATTTAATCAATAAATTCATGAGTCAATTTTAGCTAGATCACTATAGAAAACCTGGAAGCACTAAACAACCATTTCATCTTAGTATGGGACTTAAGCAAAAGTTGGTTAAGTAATTCCACTCTTCTAATTTCATTTTATAACCTTTTATCATGCAATATGTTCAATATGATTTGATTGTAATTTGTCAAATGTAAATTTTAATTAAATCACAAAAATAAGTTCATTGATAAAGTTAATTAATTTTTATATCAAAACATGGTTAGATTTTGTTATATATTGAGGGGCCGCCGAGTAGATGGGCAGTGAATTATCGATCGGATTAACGACGCGTAAAACACGTGCGAGCAGCCTAATGTCCTGATAGGTCTTGCTTTCCACCTAGACCAGCCAGTTAAGTTCAGAACACCAATCTCAGCCTCTGCAATATGAATCATCTATTTCAAACATACTCGATTTATATACCAATCAAACAGACCACAACCTACCATAAAATTCAAAATAACATTTGTACATCATTTGGCCAAATGTGACTGTGAATGTGGGAGACAGTGACTAATGAACAGGGCATAATCCCAGAATGGTAAAACGTATAATTATGGTTCATAAGTTCAAATAAAGCTTATAATAAGAGAGACATGAATATGGATAGTTTAGTTATTTCACAATTATACGATAAAAGATATACGTTTAGTATTGATCCATAAATGGATCCCAAAGTTACCATTTATTATGTGCTTATCGGGACATAGCAGATTTAATTTTCATATGTGTCATATATTATTATTACAAATGAATTCGGTCATTGAAATTTTAAGTAAACTACATTGTATTGTAATTGTCAACTTGAAACTAATTGTCTTTCACTCATTGGTACATTCTTTACTAATTACAGGAAACTTTAAAACTTGTTCAAGAGAAATCTGATCAACTATCTCAATCAATTGGTAAAGATGTACAAGCTATTTGTAAACAACTTTCATTGTTATCTGCATTTGAACAAGATGTCCAAGCTCTTGAACCACTAGTAAGTTAGTGAATTAATCGTTAATAAATATTTTGTATTATAAATTAAATAATTGTATCCGTTAGTAATGTAAAGAATCTCCTGAGTTCCAAGTTTCTCCAGATCGGAACCAATCACTTCTTAATCAACGAAAATGATCCGTCATATTAAGAAATAAGAATGTGAAAACTTTTTAAAAAAAGAAAGTTTTATTTCTGACGACATCGTAATCATATCTATTGTCATTCTAAATATGCAGAATATTTTATTGTAAGTTGAAATACTCTTATTTGAATGATAGGTTTGTAAGTTTCAAATATCAAAAGGATTTGTATTCCATTGATAATTATTGAAATGTAGAAGTGTAAAAACTTTTCTCTTCGTGGAGGAGCGTAGGCCATCCATCTGCATTCTTCATTCAACAGTGTTCGAGGCAATCTTTTTCATTTGTTACCAGTTTTTGTTCATCCTTTTCATGTCTATTTCCAATACTTGGCGCAATACGTTTTTTGGTATTCATCTTTTCCGTTCCAAGTTTGTGATTGCGTCGTGATGCAGTTTGATGATTTTCTCACTATGTGTCCTATCCTTTCCCAATGTCTTTTCCTCATTTCCTCCTCATTTGAAAGTTGGTTCGTTCTCTCCTACAGTAGGCTGTTGCTGATGGTATTTGGCAAACGAACATTGGGTATCTTCAGCTGACCATTGTTTAGAAACACTTGTACATTTTTGATGGTGGTTGTGGTAGTTCTTTAAGTTTCAATTCCGTACAATAGGACTGTCCAGACGTTCATATTGAAGATTGTGACTTTGATATTAGTTGCCAGTTGTCTTGAGTTCCATATGTTCTTCAATTGTAGGAATGCTTCCCTTGCTTAACCAATCCTCGCCTTTACGTCTGCATCGGATCGTCCTTGTCCATTGATGATGCTGACCAGGTACGAAGACGTGTTCACCTCTTCCAAGGTTTCTCTATCGAATGTGATTGGCTTGGTTGTTCTCCGTCTTGAAGTTGAGGATCTTGGTTTTCCCCTACTGATGCAGCGGCTGCTGCAACACTAGTTGTCTTCACCTGCATTTGTTGATGTGTATGCGATCAAAGGGTCAAGTCATCTGTTAAGCTTAAATCATCTATTTGTTTCTAATCTATCGACTGTATTCCGTGCTTCACCGCAGATATGGTAATCTTCATATTCCAGTCAACCACCAGAAGAAAGAAGAAGGGGAAGAGTAAGCTGACGTATCTGATTCCGATCCTTACTTCGAACGCGTCTGTCAGCTGTTCCACATTCACGACTTTGCACTGTAGTCCATCGTATGAATTCTTTATATTGTTGATGGTTTTCTCGGGTACACCATAGTATCGAGAAAAGTTCCATAAGGCCATCCCTTTCACACTGTTAAGGAATTTGATTTATAGTGGCTAATGACATCAACTTGACTGCTGAATAATGATCCATAGTGTCTCTATTTTTTCCGTACATGACCGATCCTTACAGAATCCGATCTCTTGAGCTCAAAGCTGGACGTCTACTGAATCTTTCATCCTGTTCAGTAACACTTTGTTGAAAATCATTCCTGATACCGATAGTACTGTGATTCCTCTATAGTTCTCACATTTACTCAAATCTCCTTTCTTTGGCATCTTAATGTGATATCATTTTTTCCAGTCTACCAGCGGCACTTGTTCTTCCTCTCAAATCTAGATGAATAGAACGTGGAGCATGTTTGCAGTTATTTTTCTATCTGAATTAAGTGCTTCAATTAGTCAGATCCTGCTGCTTTCCCTCTTTTGTTTTGTCTGATGATCATCTTGATTTCTTTGATCGTTGATAAACTAACATTATATCCAAAATAATAAACAAGTAGTAGGTTTATAAATCATGGAAGTTTTTCATATTTACATTAAACAATAATCTAATTTATGTGAATAGATTTTCATTCATTATCAGGATTAATACAGTAAACAACTATTGATTATCATTTTATTGTTTTACCTTTTTATTTTTTCTAAAAAATAATCATTTTATTAAATGGATATAGATTAATTGGGTAGAGAAAGCAGCTGATTATCTTCTTCCTCTTTATTCTGGAAATTGGATTAAACGTTTAAAGAAACCACGTGATATTCTTCTCACTATCTGGTATCAACTAAAAGAGAAAACTTCTCTTCATCGTATAAAATTAAAACGTGCTATTGCATTATATCGTTGGATATCTAATTTAGATATTTTATTCAATTGGATTGAACAATGTTATAAAGAATTAGAACGTATTGAAATGGATATATGGAATATTAATCTTCAATCAACTGTTATCAAGAAATTGAATAACATGTAATGTTGAGATTTTTCTTTTTTTTTTCTTTTCTTTTTCTATTTCTTTTTTTCTCTATTTTGGTCATACTTTACGATGTTGTATTTTCAATGATTAAGATCATGAGTCAGTTGAAGCTAGACCAACATGGTGGTCTTAATCATTGAAATTACTACAATCTCCACAAAACCCCTTCTGATGTTGTATTTGTTAAAATTACATATGAAATATTTTAAGCAAGGATTAATTGGTTATGATCAGTGTTGGATTTAAATTATAAAAAAAAAAACAACAACAACTTATTCTTTGAACATAACATGGTGAAACTATAATTTATGAATGAACCAATCACGTATAAGACAACACATCTGGGATTTTGAAGCGAAATTCACTTATCGATTTGGTTAAATAGCGCTTTGGCATTGAAAGATTATGTCAGTTCGTGATGTGAAAACCTTAAATCTAATTTTTAGTCTTATTATCAGTTGTAAATCATAATTCTAATTCGTTACACTGTTTTATAACCCTCATTTAATCCTAGTTATCACGTGGATACTCATGAGGTCATCATGGCGTCTCTCAAAAGTCATCCATAAATTATAGTCTCACCGAAATCATTTCAGTTTTAGATGAAACATACTGAAATATCTGTAATTAAATTTATTCATAGTTATATAATATACCCTTGTAGGCCAGTGTAATTTTACATAGGTTTTCAGGAGATAACCCAAAAGGTACAGCCCAACCCCGCTTCACAGGAGAACCAGACACTGTATAGGCTTCAATGTTACAATCTGAATAGTACGGCTCAATCCTGTGGCGCAAATACACAGGTACCAAGCACCCTGATGAACCATTCTCACCATTCATATTCACATTTACGTCACATGTATAGTTACTCCGATCAATGATGGCGTGAATCAATTATGCACAGCATGAACAAGCCAAAGTTGACCTATTCCGCTTACACAACAGTCAAACTCATTAATCTTAGCAATGGCGACATGCCTTACAATGTCCCAATGACAATGGCCCTTGAGAACACTGTAAAGCAACCACTAGTATGAATGAAATCGGTTAACAGCAAACCAATTTTGTGCATGATCAGTCAGCAAAACTTGCCAAAATAATCATGCTAAACCATCCTCAGTATCATTGGTGAACCTCCAATCTCATATGAGACCTTCAGGTCTATATAGCAATATAGCTTATACATTATACCACACATATGTAGGGTATTCAACGAAATAGCCCAGTCTGAAGCGTTAGGGCTTGAAGAACGCTTTAAACCGGTTGTCTGCTGTCGGAATACTATTGCAATATCAACAAGATCATTTTTATCGCATTTTCGAAATTTTCATTTCTCCAACTTTTCAGACCTTCAATTAGAGGTGGTATCTCTTGTAATTAAATTGGGTTGTTATAAAGATTGTAAACTTCTAATCAATATGAGCAATCAAAAGGTGACACTAAAAAGATCTGCCTGTCATTCATGATTATTTATTCTTTATCGTTTAAATTGTATTGGGTATTCATAATAATAATTTGATGAAATTACTCAGCAACATGATTCTCATAATGGTGAATAATGTTTTGATCATTATCCATGTATAATAGAAGTTTCACATAAAGTAGGAAAACAATAAAATGTTATTCCAATGGGAATTTGAAAATAATGACTATAATATCATACTTAGGTGCTTTCATCATGCACTATTGTAATATTATCAATACCCATAACGACCAAACCATCCAGCTCAGAGAACAAAACTCCATCAATACCCATAGCGTACATATCAACAACATATAAAAGTGAACAAAATTGTTTTGAATAAATTTTCATCAGGCTTTGTTCTACTGGTCTATATAATAATATATACATACATATATATATATGGCAATAATATAATAATATTTATATGTATGCTTCAATAATATTAGAATAGAGCTATTAGTTAGTTCGAATGCTCATACTTTCTATCATGTGTAAGAGAAAAGAACAAACTTTATTCGTAAACACTGAAAGCATTCGAAAAACCACTGCGATTGTTTACGTTCTACCTACAATAAGAAGCTATCAGTTAATTCTTTTAAAGAATTAAAACATGATGTTAACTAAACTAACCATCAATTGAAAACAACATAACCCTAAAATTTAAACATAGTACATAAGTCATAGATTCTTTTTTGCTTGCATAGGGTTAAGGTTTTTAAATTATGCCCTGAAACATTAAACACGCTAATTCGAATCAGAAATAAGCATCGAAGATATTTTATATTTTACTTCTATGGTCAAAGATATAAAGCCTTGTGAAGATCTTACTGATAACAGTATTATTTGTTTAGATGTATTTTAGTAAAACTGAAACTTGTAAGTTCAATAGTCAATAATTGATTTTTACCATATCGACAGGAACTTCCGATACAATCGTCTTATCTCTATGAATTTTACTAATCTTATTAGTTTACATCGTAGTTTCTTACCAACGGTATTTGTTAGATTTTAATCAGTCACCCAGGGCTGAATATAGTTATAGTTCTTTCAAATATGATATCATGATTTAAAAGTTCAGGAATTGAGACCTCTATCATCCAAAAACAAAAAAAAATTTAACATTTTTTGTAAATCTAATTTTGCGTAGTTTTTACCAGTTCACCACTATCGACCAACAGTTGTAAATTGCGAGTATTGTTTTATAACATCAGCTAATGTACATCCAAGGATTAAAAGATTGAGTTTATTGAAATAAAATCTTACCTCTGGTCTATATCTTGATTTTTTGATTGAGGTCATGAACCGATTAATGTTAAACCACCATTGAAAATCTGGAAGCACTGAACGGCCGTTTCGTCCTATTGTGGGACTCCTCCATGGCAGTGCTCATCCACGATCCCGCTCGCTGGATTCGAACCTAGGACCCTCAGTCTCGGGCGTGAACATTTAACCTACTTGGCCACTGGGCCGGCCAACATCCAACGGTGTTAATGTCTAACCTCAACCAATCCATGAAGTTGCACAACCATCTTCCGTTGTACTGAAGTAGACACTTGTTTCTACCCTACACGGATTAGCTCCACTGGTAACGACTTCTCACCAGAACTCCGATAATTTTCTCACGAAGCTAGTCACTAGTGAGCACATTGTAATTACCAATTTAGGTGTTGTGGAGATTGTCAAGTTTTTGATTGAGATCATGAACCGATTGATGTGGTCTAACATCAATCGGTTCATGATCTCAATCAAATCTTGACAATCTCCACAACACCTAAATTGATATATCTTAATTGATGTCTTTCGTTCACTTGAAAATAGTACATATGTTCATACCATGAACAACTAATAACTCTTGGAATGAATAGAAATGGATCTAAATCATTCTAATTCAAAAGATATATATATATATATTATCTCAACGATTCATCTACCTCCGTTTTTCTATTTTTATGTTTTAAATCTTCTTATTTATTGCCAAATTCTAGTCTCATTTATCTTCTTTCTATTTATGATAAATTAAAGTTTCTATAGAAGAAGAAAGAAGTATAAACTAGGAAAGATAATATAAAATCACTTGTCATTTCAATCAAATTATATAATTAGATAGGTGATAAATTTTCTTAATTTGTTAAGTTATTGTATGATAGATGAATGTAATTGGTTAAAAATATAGTTTTGCGTATTGGTCGGTGAAATAAAATCTTTATCTGTTTTTGATGTTTTTCTTTTTCTTTTGCCTTACTTTGAACATCATCAACATTATTTCTAATAATAATACAAGGAATTCTCAATTGATTGATCACTGGTTGATGATCAATGTCATGAGTGTCTAATCCTTATTATTAGTGCAGATCGAATGCTATCGATCATGTTTGTTGCAATGTGGCCATCAGTCTAGGTGACTCGACACCGCGAGCACTATTGTAAGATTCGATGGTGGTTGAAGGTAGTCGACAGGAAATCCTGGACCCGGATTTCGTGCACTCGTCAGCAAGGTGTACCTGTAATCTTTGAGGGGACTGGTTCTCCCTGGAGGATTCGATCCCGTGATTACATCTCAGTCCTACAGGAGGTCGATCGCGGACCGGATAGCTCAGTGGTAACGTCTCTGACCGTGAAGCTGGGTGACACAGGACCAAATCGGCCAGGGAGCACCAGTTCCCTCAAAGACTACAGGTACACCTTGCTGACGAGTGCCAAGTAGCCCGAAACCCGAGTCCTGGGTTTCCTGTCGACTACCTCCAACCACCATCGAACAAGGAATTCTAGTTATCTAGTCATCAGAGTTTATATATTACAAATGTATTGTATCTCGTGAAGAGACTTAAGTAAATAGAATGAACTTAGTTCAGTTCAGTCTATCATGAACTGTATGATACTAAATGTTAGTCGAAAATTAGACGACAGTGAATAGTTTTCTATCCTATTTTAGAACATTTCAAAAGTCCTCATCCGTGACCATACCAGGGGTTGATATTTTGCTAGTGTAATATTATTAGTTCAGTTGCTGGAATATTATGTAATGGCAGAAAGATCTGTATGATCTAGGTTCGATCACTTGGGGATTAGATATCAAGTAATACTAAGAAGTTTAATGTTTTAAATATTCAACAGTTTTCAATGTTATTTACACATGAAATGAGCGCTAACTACAAAGATTTTTTGTTTTTCAACAGTTTTCTACATGTAGTATCTCTACCACTACGGGATTTCAATCGATAACTGAATCTCTGTGCTAATGTGGTATGGCAACTTGAACTGGTGTACGTACGTACGAAGTTCCACGTTGTTACTGATTGACTGAATCATACTGATATATTAAAAATAGTAGTTTATAGTTCCGTATTTTTCAGCATTCATTCTTCACTCATTTAGGAGTCTATTGAATAGTTGTTTTTAGTTCTGTTAGTTCGTTTTAAGGCAGTTATTCATAATACATGTTAAACGACCACACAAGTGGTACGCAATAGTTGTTGTGGTCATTTATTTCATTTTACTTTAAAGCATTTATCAATCCGAATATAAAACTCTATCGTTTATTTATTTAAGATAATGTCTACCATTTCTAACCAAGATAAGTAGGACAATTATATCTAAATTAAGGGGTTTACAGCAAACATTGAGGTATGCTTGAAAATCTTTAATTAGCATCTCAGACATTTGAAGGGACAACTGGACAGATAATCACAAAATTTTTAACATCCTACAGAACCACTCCAAACCAAAATGTTCCAGATGATAAGTCTCCTGCTGAAGCCATGTTCGGAAGGCGTATTCGGACCGTTTTCAACGCCATGTTGCCATCCAAATTAATGGATGGGCACAGTCACAATCCAAATATCCGGAGCTTTAATGTTGGCGACGAAGTTTTCATTAAATCCTACCTCGGAAAGAACCGATGGGAGCCGAGAAAAGTCGTACAAAAATTAAGAAGAGTTTTATACAGAGTCCGAGGAATTTTTGGAACATGTATACGACATTCAAATCAGATCCATAAAGACAAAAGAACGATGCGGACTCAAAATAACCAGCCAAATCTTCCATTAAAGTTAATCTTAGACATATCCACTTTACATATGCCCAAGGACACTGAAAAGAAGCCTCGGACAAGCAAGACAACGAGAATAATGGGACGCCGCCAGAAACCAGTTGTCAAGCTACAAGTGGACCCTAGAAAGAAGTCTTATTCGGGGGAGGTGTTGAGTCAGCTTCCGAGAACTACAACGGCGCCTCCAGAGGCCCTAAAGGAGTCAAAGAATTTCCAGCCAATCAGAACATGAGGGAGTTCTCTAGAATTTACCGTGGTATGCTACTGTTAATCAGTAGCATAACATGTCTCTTAGCAGATTGGCCAAAAATATAATGCTAACTTGACAAATGCTAATAATCTATAAATACCTGTGTTTTTCTGTACAAAAATGAACCTTTGAAGTAAAGCACTTTTGGCACACTTTGCGTATTCTCTCTTGTGTTCAGGTGGCTATATAGTTCTAGCTTGCGGGTTATCAGAATAGCGTGAGAACCAAATAAAGCGTTCAAATTAACAAGACTTATTAGTAAGATCATTATTAAGCAAACAGTTTATGTTTATTCTTTCTTCAAATTATTAATAAACAATAATTATCTACGTTACTGTCAAACTATAAATTGCTAAAGTCTTGGCTTCCCGGTTTTCTTAAACAATGTCTGGCATCAGAGTCTCAAGAAGATCATGAAGGAAAGAAGAAGAAGAACAGAAGACAATTAGTATGGAAATGTAGAAACAATGAATTCTGAAATGATTAACTGATATTTACAAATGGAACAGTCAATATTCAGACAATTAATTGAAATTTTTCCAATCAGGGGTTTATTGTATAGTTCTCAGATTTCACTAAGATATTCTGTAATTTTATCTCCACTTATGGTCTCATTCACTACAGTAGTATCATGACTACGATATATGAAGGTTAAGTGAAATAAAAAAAATGACTAACTTCAGTACATTATCAAATTTAGACTTGCTATTTGCTGAAAGATAAAATCGTTAAGCTTCTTAAAATACATCAATTGGTTTTCAAGTTGTGTCTGCATGAATTAGTCATCATGGTGATAAAAAAAAACCCTTAAAAGTCCCAAACTTTGATCGTTTTTTTTTTTAATTTTTCATCAGTAACATGATCCGATTTCGTTGCTAAGTATACTCGTCTGTGAATTTAACAAGGTTTTATGTTTACTTTTATATTTCAAATATTTTCCATAATTGTTTACTAATCTTCTTATTTTAAATGATTTAAAGTTCATAAAATATTGTCCTTTTTATATTTTAGTACAACTGAGAATATAAAATTTGCCATTAGTCAAACACTTCAATTACGAGCTGAACTAAATGCTAGAGATGAAAAAGTTAAATCATATTTAGAAGAAGGTAAAAGACTAAAAGCTTCATTTAAACAATATTTAATTCAATATGATAAGTCAAATTATGAAAAGTCCCATCAATCATATGAAATATCTCAATTATATTTAAAAACAGAAATGGAACAACAACATGAAACGAATAATCCAACTGATGAAATACAAATTTGTAAAATCAATGAACAGCGAAAAAAGTTCCAACATAATACATTGCAAAATTTGAATGTTACTGACAAGCATTTTATTATAGAAAATGCTGAACAACACAGTCGAATTGAACCAGTTAGATCAATTTCCTCTGATTCTCATCTTGAATCTGTAAGGTTAAATATAAATTACAATCAGAAGTCAGATTCATCATCTTTGGTATTAAATCAATTGAATTTACAAAATGATGGTCATATGAGGGATGAAGAAGATCAAATAATAACAGATCTTCACTTACGTATGACACAGTTAGTAACATCATGGTATAATTTACACAAGAAATGGCATCAAATATATGAACGACTAGAATTACAACTTAGTATTAATGAATTTGCATGGTTAGTTAAATGATAACTGATAACTAATTGATTTGATTGTTCAATTAATGATTTCCTCATTATACAGAATTATTTGATAGGTCTGTAAGACATTTCGGATACATATCAAAAAGGTTTCTACTATTAATATGTGTTTTTGTAACTAACCTGTCTGTCAGTGCTTTAATCATTTTAAATAACGTGTTTAGCTAATCTCAGGAATAAATGCCTATGATTCAAGCTTTTACACAAAACTATTTTCAATGATTAGGCTTTTTAATTTCTATGATTCAGCTATCAAATTCTACGTAAGTCAAGATGCTAATGAAGATTCGAGAGGAGTTTATACTAGTTTTGGTATATTATTGGGGTCCTTCTTATTATTAATCACACATAATTAGTTCGTAACGAATTGGTTATAAATGTAATTGTAGTGAACAAGAACACCAATGGGGGACAATCTAATGTATTTGACAACAAATTACAGAATTAGTTAGTAAAATCTAACAACCATATAAGTAAATGCTCAATTTGCAAAATGTTCATCAATTGTCTCAAATGACACAGACTTCATTGTGCTTGTATTTCCATACAAATCGCATTCTGTCTTCATTCTTTACTATTCGATCTTCTTGTCTCTCGCTGCTATCAGATATTCTGTTCACGACTCACGTCATATACTACTTATGTCTACATAAGTAGCACACACCACTTAATCAGTCAAACTGCAATACTTCTAAAGTGACAGAGTCTTAACTTTATACTTATAATATTTCAGATATATTGAGATCAATGATTACTTCATATACTTATGTTGGCAAATAATTTAAACATAACCAATCAAATAATGAATTATCAGAAGGGATTGTGTGAAGATTTTAGAAATTTCACTGGTTGAAATGATGAGTCAATTGAAGCTATACCACCATGGAAAACCTGGAAACACTGGACTGACCGTTTTGTCTTAGTATGAGACTCCTCAGCAGTGCGCATTCAACTGACTCATGATTTCAACCAGTGAAATATTGAATTGTTGAGTAAAATTAATTTAACGAACTGAGAAATAAGCGTTAGATAATGAAAACGGTTGAAACTATCTATAATTCAAATCAGCTAAACTGATTCATAAATTCAACATTTCAAACGTCAGCTCCTAATCCAAGTGGTTTAAATGTATTTATCTAACTCTGAAAGTTGAACTATTTTATCTATCTATTCGATTTGCTTCATTTTCTAACTATTCGTCCATCAGTCATGGGAAGAATTAGTACAATTGTTTAGACTATTTACTAATTTCGATTATACTGTAATCACTTGTATACATATGTTTCTTATTTTTCTTATAAAGTGTCGCAGATTCTTTGGAACATTGGTTGGTACTTCATTCAGCAGAAGTGGAATGTTTAGATATGGGTGATTCTATCAAGGAAACACAATTATTAATTGATCGACTAAATATTCTGGAACGGAATACTTTACCACAAATCAGCAGATATGAAAAAGTTAAACAACTTACAAAGGTTTGCTTAGATATCACATTTAAAATGTTTTATTTATTTATTTATTTTAACATATAGATATTGGTACAAGGAAGTACCAAATATATATGCGCCACACAGATCTCATTTGATATGTGTGAGGGCTGTGATACTGCCCGGGTGTCCAAACCGAAGCAGGTAGTTTTCTTAGGGGACCACACCCCGAGCCTTCGACCTGAACGTCTGACCCACGAGGCAGTGTTGCATCGTAAGGAGATGCAGTCCCATGGTAGCCGGTGACCAACGATTGGTTCATAAGCCATTTGTTCCTTCAGGATACTGGAGCCCATGTACACCATTGGTTTGGAATCTGGTCAAAGAGCCGGACATTCGCTTTTCGTCCTCTCATTTTCGTAAACAACACCCCCGCCACGAGAAAGCAGTGAGTAGGACTTCCCTGGCAGAGGTTATATACGCGTGGCCATGTGAGAGCATTTGGAGAGGGAGAGCGGACTCTCCCCACTCTCAGCCGTACCAGGGCATTTAAAATGTTTAATATTCACTAGTTATCCAGAAATAAATATTTGCTTAAAAGGTTATAGTAATGAAATAAATACAAAAATATAAAAATATCTATCTCCAATAATCACTAAATTGTACTTTTTGACCTAGCTGTAGATTTTAAAGACAATTTACAAAGATCATAAGCACAACCATCTTCAACTATGTTATCAGTGATATATCCGTTGAATATTAAATTATGTAAAGAAATTGGTTTTATCTATTTAAACGGTGGTATGAAATGAAACTCAGTAAAGCTTTTGTCAATATCTAGTTTAACTTAATACCATTTCAAAGTGTTGTAAATTATTAATTACATAAATAGATTTTTATCTCTGTTTTAAATCAACACTTATTGCATTCAATTTTAATAGGTAAAGTCAAAGACACTTGAAAATAAGGGCTTAAGTAATATCATGCGACATGTACAATGTAAAGACTATTATAAAAGTAAAGATTAGAGTAAAACTTGAAAAGTGTTCAAATGGCTATTGTATGTTTTGAAACATTTTTTGGAACGCAATACAAAGTACCAATCAGTAGTGAATTACTGTTAGAATGCATAAAATCTTGAGTTTGTCTTAATCTTTTACGATAAGATGAGGTTAGTAGTGACCTAATGGGATTCTTTGTGTATCGTGGTTGGAACCAAAAGTTCTAATCAAGATTATATCAAAAAGTGGGTGTGTATTTGTCGAGGGGTAGGTAAGCTGATTTATAATGTTCGGGATTTCATCATAATAATATTCTATGACTTGTATAGTAAGTGATCAGTCATTGTGTATATTCAGCTCGGTGAGGGGTGGGGAGAATCATCTAGCCAGTATTGCTTGTGTGACATAATAACCATAAACATACATTCCCTATAAAAATATAAGGTTCGAATCACATGAGCGGGATTGTAGATGCGGACTGCTGAGGAGTCCCACAATAAGATGAATTAGTCGTCCAGTGCTTCCAGGTTTTCAATCGTGATCTAACATCAATCGGTTCACCATATCAATCAAAACATTACACTCTTATTGAACTATATGAATAATTTTTTTTGATTGAGATCATGAACTGATTGGTGTTACACCACCATTACAAACCTGGGAGCACTGGATGGCCGTTTCGTCTTATTGTGGGGCCCCTCAGTAGTCCGCATCCACGATCCCGCTCCTCACGAGATTCGAACCCAGGGTCCTCAGTCTCGCCACTGGGCCGACCAGCATCCAACGGTGTTAATGTCTAACGTCAACGAATCGACGAAGTTGCATGACCATCTTTCATTGTACTGAGGTAGACACCTGTTTCTACCCGACATGGATTAGCTGCACTGGTTATGTTAATACTCTTGGTCCCATAAATGTATAGAACTTAAGGTTTTCAACAGACGAAACTGAGATATTTTAGACCAGGTAAGTGAACTAATGATGTTATGCATTGAATAACATTTAAATGAAGCATAAGCACTAACTCAATGTTACCTTAGTCATTTTGATAGTGATTTTTTAAATCTCATTCTGTTTTAAAGAATAATCGTTGAAATACACATTCACAGTTTAAGACTTTAAGTTTATTATTTTTTTCACATTTCCCAATATGTCTTTAGACTATTCAGTTTTTTTCCAAAACCTCTTTAAGAAGGGCAGACATCTCTTTCATATCACTTTCTTCAGTCTAGAATATATATATATATATATATATATATATATATATATATATATATATATATATACAATAAAAACTATGGCTCCATCATTTATTAGCATATTACATATACTTTCTTAATTTATTTTAGTTTGAACTTGCTGAGATCGAAGAAAATATGTCTAATGTGCCAATAAGCTGTGTGAATATTGTTCATAATTCGGATATAGAAAATATACAGACACTTTTAAAATACTATGAATTAAACGAAAAGGATACATCAAATGATTCTGATGATTCTAAACAGAATGTCAACATAATAGATGAGAATTTAAAGGATACTATTGATTCACATGAAATTAGTTGGGATACAGCAGAAGGTCAACATCTTTCATTCGGTAATTGAACATAACATAAATACTTTTTATTGATTAAAATTTATTCAATAATTATGAAAAGTATTTTAACTAAATGAAACATTTCAAAATTTCTGGTTATTTGATATGTTTACAGAAAATATGAGAAAAACAGGATTTTTAGTTCATTTCAAGACATTCTATCAGTTACAAATGCTGTAAAACCGCATTAAGTAACATTGTAATGAATAGAACACGACTAAGGACAATGGAATGTACTTAATACAAAATTACAGGGCTTATTAATAACATCTAACAATCATAAAGTAAATGCTTAATTTGCAAAATGTCCATCAATTGTCTCAGAACGACTCAGACTTCCTTTGTTCTTGCATTTTCATACAAATCGCATTCTGTTTTTATTCTTTACTATTCGATCCTCTTGTCTCTCTGCTGCCAGACATTCTGTTTACTACTCACGACATATAGTAGATATGTCTACATAAGTAGCACACACCACAACATCATTGCATACATGTTTTTGCATACCTTAATTATCTATATGAACTCGATTTCCTTGATGATGACGATGATGATGATGATCACGTGAAACTCTGTTTATAATCTAGTCAGTATACTTAGAATTCTCCAAGATATTATTTCACTTAGTATACTCCAGTAAAAGAAGAATAAAAGACATTGTTTGATGAAGTAAAACAGTTTTAATACTTTTGTTTCACGTTTGTTACAGATGTAAAAATTTCACAGATCAAATAACTATGATAGCCAATTGAAAAACATAATTTAATTAGATGATAAATCTAATCATAGAATATCTCTCTCTCTTTATATCTAAATGCAATGTGTGACGTCATTGTTTACATGACAAATATCCAGGTTACTATCGTCTCAGTAAACAGACTATCATATTTGTTCTATAGTTTGATTAATGTCTTAGTGGTTATTAATTGTTATAGTTCTCCCAGTTAGTGATGTTTTCAATTAGTGTAGTATGTTCAGATAAACTAAACGTGCTTTCTGTACTATACATATATGTGTAGACTAGATTACTAAGTTTTATAGGCATCAAATTTATAAGTTACGGTATGTTCAATAAACGAATTCCAAGCGTAATGCTTTGTTATAATTATTAAAGGTGAAATTTCATTAGGTTATTCAATTTACTTCCATCATTTTTTTAAATACTATCCATAGATTCTATAAGTGACTATTTAATGAGAAAACACGAGTGGATTAATCATAATTGTAAATCTCGTGATCGTTCCTGGTATGAACTATATATGGTCTTAAATACATCAGTGAAACAGCTGTTAGCCTATAAAAACAAATCTGATTACAATGAAGATAAGTGAGTTTACATGTTTATGTTGAAATGTAAAATATTTCATCTACCATTGTTGATTTTTCTACCATTATTACTTTACTTCTCAGACTAGTAGTATGAATGAAACACTCCGTTGCCATATTTATATCAATTCTTTCTACTCAGAAGCTCCTATTCATGAGTTGATGAAATAATTTTTTCCGAAGTTCACGATAAGCCGTAAATTTTGATTGCTTATGATGTTACTACTTACACTATGTTAAAGTAGTATGTTAGTTATATAGAAAATACTAAATTATTACGATTCGCACACAAATTAAGCTATTTTGTGGTTTGTACAAATCACCAGTCAAATGATTGGTAAAATTAACTAATATTCCAAAAATTTTGGATAAAGAGTTTGTTGGTTTTATGATGGAAATTTAGAATATGTGATTATCTTAAACAAAATTCCGTTTTTATTGGGATATTAATGATTTCCATTGTGAAAATTAGAACAACACATATAAGCGAATAATATTGTTTTCATTAGGCCTTACTCTAATATACATGAAAATATTTATACGAAAATATCAAACCAATCAAGGTAATTTAAGTCAATAATCACAATGAAGTAAATTATGTTACTATGCATAATGGATAAAAGTACAAGTACAAAAATTGGATAGAATTGGAAAGGAAGGCCCAGGACAGTGTGGATTGGAGAATGATAGTTGGCAGACTATGCTCCATTCAGAGTATCAGGTGTAAGTAAGTAAAATTTGATAGTAGGAAGACAGGTGTACTAATAGTAATAAGAATAATAAAATATGATAACAAAAATCTTATCATTAGTTCAATATTGGAAATAGAAGGTCAAATGTGGATAAACAGACTTAAAATAATCATTACAAAACATTAAAACCATTACGTAATAACAAGTATGTCAATAATTAGATAGTGAAGAATATAAACGGAAAGAGGAAGAAAATTATAAACAAATACAGGAATATGAAAATAATGCTAATGATAACCAAAAATAGAATAAAGTGCTCGCGCGCGGAACCAGTAGGTCCTGGGTTCGAATCTCGCAGGAGGCGAGATCGTGGATGCGCACTGCTGAGAAGTCCCATAATAGGACGAAACGGCCGTCTAGTGATTCCAGGTTTTCCATGTTGGTCTATCTTCAACTCACTCATGATCTTAACCATTGAAATAAATAATAATAAAAATTCCTATAGCTTCAGCTATATGTAGGAGGTGGGAACAAACTCCTTTGGGAAATGATGGAGGTATACGATAGATCACTTGAAATGATTTCGATTTATCTACAGCATTACCGCTATCAATAAGATGTGCCAAGATAGAACTGTGTTTTGTTTTAAATCTGGCCCTTTATAAACCAAGCTGATAGATGTTCACTTATTCTTTGGTTAAATTACCTGGTAGTACGCCCGATATATTAGATGCTTATTTCTTACAAATTCAATGGAGAATATTTTATACTTACTCATTGTAACCTTGTCATAAATCGATATACATTATTTGCTTCAAAGTTTTTTTTGTTTTACCAATGATCTAGCTATTCATAACCACTTCATTGAATTATCATCAATTATCAATGAAACACACACATTACACATTTAAAAACAATTTTTTTTCATTGTACTAAATCTCCATTAGTTCTTCACTTTGTCTTAACAGTTATTTGAAGAACCAATTTCTTTCTCAAGTTCTAAAACTATTTTATCATTTTATTTTATGTTTAAGTCCTCAATTCAATACATTTCGTGGTGAGACTGGATTACTAGTGGGACAGAATTTAATAACTGCCTGTGAAACAAAAGATTATACGAAACGATCAAATACATTTCGTATTACATCAATTGTTACTGGAGCTCGGTATCTATTTCAAGTTCGTGAAAATTGTCATTTATTATGTTTAATAAATTTGAACAATATAAATCTACACAAAATAATAACATTAATTATGTGAATCAGATTTTATTTATTTTATTTATTTTAACACATAGATATTGGTACAAGGAGGTACCAAACACATATGCGCCACACAGATCTCATTTGATATGTGTAAGGGCTGTCATACTGCCCGGGTGTCCAAACCGAAGCAGGTAGTTTTCTTAGGGGACCACACCCCGAGCCTTCGACCTGAACGTCTGACCCACAAGGCAGTGGAGCATCGTAAGGAGATGCAGTCCCATGGTAGCTGGTGACCAAGAAATTGGTTCATACACCATTTGTTCCCGCAGGATACTGGAACCCATGTGCACCATTGGTTTGGGATCCGGTTAAAGCGCCGGATATTCGCTTTTCGTCCTCTAAATTTCGTAAACAACATCCCCGCCACGAGAAGGCAATGATTAGGACTTCCCTGGCAGAGGCTGTATACGCGTGGCCGAAATCGAAATCTTCACTAGTTATTTCAAGATCAATTAAATAGATCTAAAGTTAGGCAAATGATTTTGAATTTTTAGTGTCAGTTTTAAAACTACTACTTAATAACTCAATGCAGATGCCCAGAAAATCAAATAATCTAGCAAGTAAGACAGATGATGCAGAAACACAATGAGGATTTCAGTTGAATAAACTTGACAAAAAAAAACTAAAAAAATTCTTTTGAGAAATCAAAGAGTAGCCGATTTGATGACCAGGATAATTGAAGAGGTTTCATGAATGTTTTCTCCATACCAGATCAGGTTCATTGACACGTATTACTTTGGCTTTTGCTGTATATAAGTGACAAATTCTGGAAGTATATGACAGGATTGATAAAGTTTTATCGATAAACTAGAAAGCAAAATATGGGTCCTGACCTGTATCAACTTAATATCTCATAATAGAGCTTCTTACTGCTTCATTATATCTTTTGTCAGCTTTGCAAAGTGATTTTCAGAAGTCCAATGGTTTAATCATCTGATTGTTTCCAATATTTGCTAAAACCTAACCGGTATTAAATTATTTTGTTTGCTAAAAGTTATTATAGAAAAGTTTTATAAAACCGCAAATAACTTTGCTTTCATTGGCTTGACATATTTAAAATGCCAGTCAGTGATCGTGAATACTTTTCCGTTTTCTGAAAAACTTGTATCTATCTTAGTTTAATACTTGGATCTAATATAAATTGCAACCAGTTTTTTGAACCCGTCACTTTACTAAGGTATATAAATTTGTTGAGAATCACAACACAAAGTAAAATTTTGAGGATACTGTGGAATGATCAGAACCTTGAGGTTATCTTCAAAAGGAAAGAACATCCTGCACAGTTCCGTGTTATGTGCAAAAAATTATAATGTTATCAATGGGAGTTAAAACTTGAGCTGCAAAAAAAGTCAACAGTCACACTATCACTGGCTGTTTTAGAAGTTAACGTTTGTCATAAAGATGACGACTTGGTTAACCAACAAGTTTCTACTAGCCATTTGAATAAATTTTTTCTATGTTTAAACACTTGAACTGTTTATTCAAGTCTTTGGTTCGTACAATAAAACCAATATAATACATTCTGTTGGGAAGATTATTTAAAATGCGATAAGACCCATGTTCGATTGCCTTCTGTTTACCATCAACCAGCTGGGCAGTGAAGAGACGTCGTTACATTTTTTAACCAGAAATCTACAAACCGCTGTTAGCAAATACCCAAACAATAACACCTGACATTGCTTAGTGAACTAGGAAAGTCTCAATGCCAATGAGGGTAAACATGGATCCTACAAGATCTCCCAATGCTTACAGGTGGAGCTTCCTTAGATGTAAAATCAGTTGAAGTGTCAATATTTCGGTTACGCTTTCCTTCTTTTGAATTTTCAGCAGGTGATATTAAATAACAGTGTAAAACATTTATAGATTAAGAAATTTTGTGCTCATCTATGATCTACAGTATAACTGTAGTGAACAAAACCACCACACTCTTCCCCCCTTTAAAAGCAGTCGTTCTTGTGGTGGTTCGTGCAACATTCTTCTTTTCTACAGTCTGTGCTAAGCACTCCATCAAAATGTCGAGTCTGCGGCGCGCTGACCTCCATAGCTCCGTCAACCTACCGGGGAACCAATACCCGACCTCCGCCCGGTACCTGAGACATTTACACCCGTGCTCCACCGGCCTGCTGAGCCACCTACATCCGATGTCCGCCCAGCAGACGCACGTCCCACCGCTCCTCTCCATCGACAGCACCTGCCACAGGCAACACCACCCCACCAAAACACTCCACCAGACGTCACCTCTCCGCACCAGACTGCGCCAACCTGCACCTCAGCTCCAGGCTCGCAATGGCGTGCGCAGAACAGCACCCTTACCCTCTCTTGGCTGGCAGCGACACCAAATGTAGTGCACAAAACACCAGTGACAACAACCGAATGAATTTAACAACAAATTACAGAACTAGTTAGTAAAATCTACAACCATATATTAAATGCTTAATTTACAAAATGTTCATCAATTGTCTCAAATGACTCAGAATTCCTTTGTTCTTGCATTTCCATACAAATTGCAATCTTTCTTCATTCTTTATTGTTCGATCTTCTCGTCTCTCTGCTGCCAGATATTCTGTTCACTACTCACGTCATATACTACTTATATCTACATAAGTATCACACACCACATAACGACTGCACAGTGAATATACAGATGATTCATATCGATTGGTAAATCTGTCATTCTTAAATCCTTCTCATTTGAGCTCTGTTTTAAATTGAACGTAATGTTTACTTAGAATATTGTTATGTATATTTTAGAATTATATTTCTTAGCATGATTACGTATTAGAAAATGACAATAATAAACTTATTCTCAATGTTTTTGTTTTGTTTTAGGCTCAAACTAGTGAAATGATGAGAAAGTGGCTTAATTTAATACAAAATATCAATCGGCAAACGAGATCAACATCAGGTCCAACCATTATCACTTTATCAAGACCATCTGAAGAATTCCAAAATCCTTTAGTCATTGTAGATATGCATGAAACATACAATACATCGAAAAAATTAACTTTAACACAAATGCTTAGATCAAAGACAACTAATCAAATATCATGTATGCGAAGACATAGTTCAATTCAGGATAATGATCTTACAAATAATAATATGTTAGAGAACACAGAATCACCACAAATTCGAATTAAACGATTTCCTTCAGTACGTACAATGAAAGTATTTTCACCAAGACAGGTGGTGCGTTGGTTAACATTTAAATATTCATCATTTTCACCATCCTCCTCTTCCTCCAGCATGAGTCATCATACGTCTAAGTTGATTAGAAGTAGTACATCACATAATATGAAATCTGAACAGTCTAGTCATCAACCAACTCCATTACTACGTAAAAGTTTAACTTATGGTTCATTGCATAAAATTAGTCGATTTTCTATTACACCAAAAAGTCATAAAGATACATGAAATAAATATCTTATTTGAATTAGTGTGTAAAATACATATCGACTATAACATTCAATTATCAATAATGTCCCCCCCAAAAAATGATCATTTTTTAAAATTTAGTTTATAAGGTATCAACAAGTATTCAATAAAGAGAATACTTCATTGAGCCTTTATGTGTTTAGGTCTATATATTCCAATTATAAACAATAAATAAATGATAAATGATATATTTATATTTTCCCCTAAATGCACTGGTATGGTCGAGAACGGGGAGAATCCGTTCACCCTCTCCAAATTCTCTCACATGATCACGTCAATACAACCACTGGCGGAGGTGTTGTTCACGAAATTGAGAGCACGAAAAGCGAATGTCCGGCGCTTTAACCCAGTTAGTAGACATGAAGAGTTCACATAGGAGAGGTGGAAAACCCTCATTCCAAACCATTGGTGCACATGAGCTCCAATATCCTGAAGGAACAAATGGCATATGAACTCATCGTTGGTCACCGGCTACCATGGGACTGCATCTCCTGGCGTTGCTCCACTGCTTTGTGGATAAGACCTTCAGGTCGAAGGGTCTGAGTGTGGCACCCTAAGAAAACCACCTACTTCGGTTTGGCCACTTGGGCAGTATCACAGCCCTCAAATAAATCAAATGAGATTTGTGTGGCGTATATGTACTTGGTGCCTCTTTGTACCAATATCTATGTGTTCAAATAAAACAAAATAAAAAATAATTATATAAATTAATTTGCAATTAAAAGAAAATTATTCTTATCAAAAATAAACAAAGTAAAATATATAAAAAGATGAAAACAGCTATACAAGCTAGTCAGTGATTTATAACACTTTGAAATGGTATTAAGTTGAACTAGACATTGAAAAAAAAAGCTTTACTGAGTTTCATTTCATACAACATAGTGACTACTAGAGAAGGGTTTAGGGTAAGGGTTAGGATTGAGGGTTACGCTTGAGTTAGGGTTAGAAGGTCCAATGTTAATAGTGAATGGCGTGTGTTCCCATATGTATTGTGTTGTTTGTAGTGTTTTCCTGAATAGTACAGAGTATTTGGATGAGGGTGAAATGGAATGTTGATATTGATGAATTAATGTTGCAGGATGTCGATCATTCTTCGTGCAGCCCAGTGGTCCAAGGCGCTGGTTTCAGGCACCAGTCTAAAATCGGCATGAGTTTAAAGCCAACCCCAACATTCACTTTTACAATCACCCACATCACTCAGTCCCGACTATCACATATACAAACACAAATACACAATTACAGTCAATCAACAACAACACTACCATCACATTCTCATTCCGTTCAGTGTCACTTCGAGACTTCGTCTCATTCACAACACCGACTAGTCAAAGTCCGTTTCCTAGTCCCACTGACAGAAAACATTGTCTGACTGTATCGAACTACTGACATGTATGCCGAATGCTCAATTCATCTGTGCTTCGTGCTGAAATCCCGAGTTCGACCACGTGTATTGTGTACAGGCAGGTAAGCAGATCATGGTCAACCGACACATCTCACCAGACAAACTGACCATGTTTCTGATGGACACCAGCAGACGAGTAATCGAGTATTGGAAATGAAAATTGCTTATGTATCTAGTGCATGGTAAACACAAACGATCACTTCGGTTAGGGTTAGGGTTTAGTGGTGTGTCACGTTGACATCAATTAGACCGCTCAATGTTGTCGAGGGGCTCATCACTTTAGTGGCCTGGATTCTGACTCCAATTAGATCGTATGTTTGATTGCTTTCAAAATATATATGTCGCCTATCGTCGTACATTTTATCGACTTAAATCACGTTAGTCAATAACGAAATTAAATAAATATGAGAATGAATTTCGAATACGTATATTTCATACAATCTTTGATCCAGACAAAGTATCGGAGAAGCAAAGAGAAATGACGAGCAGTGGAGAAGGCTTATAAACCAACTTCATTTATTCAAGCGTTAATTAATATCTATAGTTACACAAAAATAAGTTACAGATATGTGGTGAATAGGATAAGAAATGTACACACACATACGCGCTCATATAAAAACAGTCAAGGTTGATAAGCGAATAATTAACAAGATCAAAATGTAACTCAAGAAAAATGAATAGATTGGCCTGTTCAGAAGCGAGAATAAGGTATATCGGCTAAACATATCAACCGACACAATATAGAGCCCCCTTGTAGAAAATAGAACATTTGAAAAAAATGTCTATCTTAGAAAATAACACTAAATCGGTATGTGGATGGCGTTAACAAGTAGGGAGCTAATCCATGTCAGGTAGAGATAGGTATCTACCTCAGTACAATGGAAGATGGTCGCGCAATTTCGTGCATTGGTTGATGTTAGACACTAACACCATTGGATGTCGGCCAGCTCAGTGGTCCAGTAGGTTAAGCGTTCGCGCGCGAGACTGAAGGCCCTGGATTCGAATCCCGCGAGCGAGATCGTGGATGCACAATGCTGAAGAGTTTCATGCTAGGACGAAACGGCCGTCCAGTGCTTCCAGGTTTCCAACGGTGGTCTAACATCAGTCGATTCATGATCTCAATCAAAAAGTAGGGAAAAAGTTGTAATATACCTGATAGTGCACAATATCACGTCAGGGCTGAGTATATTATACGAAAGTGTTATACTTATGTAAAAGAATACATTACATGTCGTAAAGTCGAGGACAAAAATGGAAACATTAGCATGCGATTATGAGCAAATTAATAACCGTACAAAAATTTAACATGCATTTACGCTGTGACTGCTTGGACGATAAAATAATACGTTCGTATGAGCGATTCAAAATATCGTGAAAACAGTAATAAATTGTCTATGGATATGACAACGAAATAAATCGTGAAAATAAGTAGGGTAGAATATGACAGAAATTAATCTGTGATGCCGACAGAATAGTGAAATATGAACATGTTCTGATGAGCCTCAGTAAAGTAAATAGCGTCGATTAGCGATGAGTGTTACTAATCAGCTAGTAGAGTTAGATGCATCCACGGACATAATATGAGACAATATCAAAATGAAAAATGTATGGTAGGATAACATGAAAATGTGACATCCACAAAGTGAATGAGTATAATATTAGGTCAAAATGACAAGAGGAAAATTGGAAAGAAATCAAATACGGCAGGAAAATTTTATATTAGGGTTAAGACTGAGACGTGTAAAATGTGAACTTACAGAGGCTATATATATATATATATATATATATATATATATATATATATATATATATATATATATATATATATATATATATATATATATATATATATATATATATATATATATATATATATATATATATATATATATATATATATATATATATGGTTGCAGACATGGCCACTAAGTGCAAACTGATTGTTTATTCACATGCTTAGATGCTGAATGGACCATCAATAAATGTAGCTTGGCTTAGTTAAACTCCATCGAGTACGCGAAAAGCTTCGAATCGGTCCAGAAAATCGTTCAAGGAAGATATAAAATGAGTAAACGTTTGAGCGAGCTCGCAAAAGGAAAGAAAATTGAACAAGGCAGAACCTAAATAATGTCGAATTGGCAAAGGAGCACTGCTAATTATGTTTGCCAAACAACAAAACCGCGATATAGAGTTTCCTAGACGACTCATCCTGTAAACAGACCATATGAGACTGAAGGTTCACCACTGATACTGAGGATGGTTCAGCATAATCATTTTGGCAAGTTTTGCTCACTGCTCATACGTAAATTTGGTTTGCTGGTTAACCGATTTCACTGATACATCTTACAATGTGTTGTAAGTTGTCAGACACATATTTACAAGAGAAATCCCACAGAATAGGAATGAGCGAAATCGGTTGAGCTGTTCAAAAGTTATGGTCAAAAGTGTGTTGACGAGATTCTCTGTCTCGGGCATTTCTATAGGATTTTGACGGGTGGACTTTCTATAGGATGCTTCCGAGTCACATTTTCCTTCATAACTTTTGAACGAATTAATGTATTTCAATGGAGCGTACTTTATGTTATTTATGCAATTGAGTGCTATTGAATGATGTATAATATGTACACGTACATTAAGATTTGTACTTGTCGATTTACACCTGCTCTTACTCGCCATGTTATATAGGGATACTACCCCTAACTCAGGGTCTGAAAAGTCGGAAAAATGAAAATCTCGCAAATGCTATGAAAATGATCTTGTTGGTATTGTAATAGTATTCCGACAGCAGACAATGGGTTTTAAAAGTTCTTCAGACTGTAACGCTTTAGGCTGGGCTATTTCGTTTACTACCATACATATGTGTGGCATATTACATAAGCTATATTTCTATGTAGAGCTGAAGGTCTTATATGAGACTGGAGGTTCACCATTGATACTGAGGATGGCTCAACATGATTACCTTAGCATGTTTTTGTGATTCCTCCTGTGCTAAACTAATTTGCTTGTTAACCGTTCTCTTACATCACGCTTTAAACCTTTTGTCTGGTGTTGGTTTACTATTACTGGATCACCAAGATCTTTCGAATCGCATTTGTGAAATTCTCGTTGAGAGACCAAGGAGTTAGGGGTAGTATTCCTATATATCATTGGAAGAGCTTGTGTAAATCGTCAATCATATATCTTAATATACGTGTACATGTTATATATCATTAATTAGTACTCAATTACGTAGGTAACACAGTAAATCCTATTGAAAAATATTAATCCGTTCAGTTATGAAGGACAATGTGATCCGAAAACCTCCCATAGAAATTCTGTGCTGATCAATCGTGTGGCGCATCCACACAAGTAACGCAATCCCTGGTGGACCATTCACACGGTGGCGTAGTAAACGAGATAGACCAGCGTGAAGCGTTTGTGCTTTAATAGTGCATAAAACCCATTGACTGTTGTCCGATAACTATTACTTGAGTGCAGTTAGAGGTATGAGGGCGGTTATCACTTCCCGGTTGCCCACACCGTGGAAGGGTTCTGCTAGAGGTACCTGAAAAGGAAATTGGATTAGAGGTGGTCATAGTGACCTGAGAGCGTGACCGCAGTGCCCAAGGGACAGCTGCTTGAGGTCGGTCACACACGACCTTTTTATGAGTAATTTTTGTGTTAGCTCCGTACTTGTTGAGACCTTACCGCCGGAGACGGATATCCATGGGATAAGGCGAGGTGTGCATTTTTAGGGTCGACCTTTTCTAACCCCTCCCCTCCTTTTGGGAAGGCAGCATCGCTGTTATGCTGGTTGTCTGAAGGAAACACCTTACTGCTGTCACACCTCTGTACAGTCAGCAGTACGACTTCGCCTTCGGACCTTGGTTTTGTTGCTTTTAGTCTTACCGCTCATCAACCGACCTGTCTGGCATGGTAGGACCTT